AGAGGAAGGAAGATTCTAGAAAATATCGCAAATTTTTAACAGATCGGGAAAGACTGGTCGGTGAAGAATTATTACGTTGTAGTATATTAGAAAGTGGTTTAAGTACTGTATGGCTCGATAATCTTATGGAAGAATGGGAAAAAACATATAATCAATTCGTACAAATTTTTAACTACAATGCATAAATCATTTCCCGCGATCACATGGGGTTGCTCTCTAGGCGTGTAACAAACAATTATTTAATGATAGATAATGACGCATTTCACAAACTCGATATGGGGAATACTTTATTTAGAATTTAATGTGAGTAATAAATTTTTCATGATGGAATCGAACGTGAATACCCACGACACGTGTGTCACACTGGTGTAGCATGTGGCGCAGTAATTCACTTTGCATCTTTATTCCCTCTCAAACATTTTACAATCACAAAATCTAAGTCACCTTGGCTTAAGTTTATAATAGATCGCAACGAAAATGATCTAATTAATGTTATTTTTTGTTTCGCCAATTTCTCACCACCGTTAACAATAGTAGTGAAAAGTTTATATATTTTCCGAGCCCTTTCCATTCTCTTCTGCAAAGCACCATCGCTTACTTCAGAAATTTAGTTTCTAACATCATCGAAAACCAGTGCATTGGATGCTTCTTTACCGTTATCCTTTTTATACTCTTTATATCGTTTATATAGGACACATCCAAGATCAAAATAACTACTTATAACATCTCGGTTCGTAACCTCATTTTTAGATTCAGCATAATCGATTTTTCTAAAAAAGTATAGAAAATTAGTACTACCCCCTCCTGGTGCATTTGCTTCAGCAACTTCGTCAATCTGCAGATGAATATAGTTAGATAGCAATTCATTAATAAGTTTTTTCAGGTTCATCGATTTTTCTCTATTGACTGGTTTTACCTCCTTCTTTGGTTTCTTACTAGGCGATTTATCTAGCATCGTGGATGTCTCTTCACTAGTAACTTCAATAGGTCTTTTTTGGGCTCCCTCCGCTATATCGTCAATTATTCCCTTCGAATTATCTTTATTCTTCCCATTATCTACATCCGGCATCTCCTCATCAATAATTTCCTGAGATTGGATAGTAAGTTGCTTTCCCATCTTCTCAACTATTGACGAATTGCTGGATTGAGAATCGGGCTCGGTAAACTCCTCAAGAATTTCAACGCTTTTACCGTAGTCAGGGAATGGACACGTTTGTTGCTTGGTAAGTAGAAGCTTTTTCTCAATGCAGATTCTATGATAAGTGTGACCACAAAGTAGGACTGTGAATGCTTTATTGGGGCTGGCAAAAATTTTCTTATCGCATTCTACACAGTTAGGCAACTTGGTGAATTTCTTATTTTTAACTGTATCGTCATTGAAGTTTTTTAGGATAGTATATGCGAGATTTTTAAGATTAGTAG